TACATATATATAGTTTTCGATTGCTGTACAAAATAGATCTATTTTAGAAGACAAGTGCATAACAGAAGAGCGCATGCAGCCACGCCCTGTTTGGAGGCAAATCCAATCGAGGTTGTTTTGCGTGCATTGCCCAGGGGGAGGGGGAGAAGGAAGAAGGCATTATACTGTCGAAATGAAAATGTAATTAAAACAAATGAGAAGATTTTAATCATCATGAAGCAAAGGTTAATCTATAGAATCGTCAAAAAATGTATTTTTTTTTAACCTGTCAACCTTTCCCGAATCAGTATTTGCTGTGTCCGTAACACCAACATCCTGACTTGTAATGCGACTGGATGCGGCTGAAAACAGTGTATGCCTCCGAAAGCCTCAGTATACTTGGGAATGGGTGTCTTGTGTTTGTGAGTTGTCACCCTTGCTTTACATCTTGGAAAATGCTCCAGTTGTCTCAAGGAGCCTGTGTTTGAATAAACCCTATTGGCTGCCTTCTCGTGACAGAGTTGTTTTCCCACGAAAGTGAAGTAATGAGTAGCTGACATCTAATTGAGTCGGTGAACCACTGGTGATTCACCTCGGGGATTTGACCATAAACTTCTATTCCGAACCAACCAAGAAGAGGAGTACGAACTGTACACCCTTTCTGGTTGTGACAGTGGTCAGCGACTTTAGTGGGCACGGGGGTGTATTGGGCATCTTGAATGTTTGTCTTCGTCCAAGAAGTGTATAATCCAATGAACTGGAAACCGCCGCCCCAATTAATTTCCTCTTTCAGATTCCGTCCCGGTGCTTTGTGGATCAGGCTCTAGCCAATCGAAGACTTTGGCTAGAGCAACCTAACAGTATTTCATCCACAAGCAAATCATAGAGTGATAGTTTTTGTCACAAAGATTGTCCGGATTTAGACAATTGTGTGAAAAACTTAGTTGTTAATCTCGCCTATACCGGTTTTCATAGTCAACTTGATGCCAAATCAGGTCACATTAGGTGGGCAATACTCCTCATCTATTTCAAGAAATTACCCATTGAATCTCATCCCTGAGAATAATGCACCCGTTCGATTCCGCACCAAAGAACTCAAGCGGTACCTACCTGAAACCGAGTTATGGTTTTCTTTCCGGGAGTTGGAGCACGTTCTTCTTAAACACCTATGGTTCTAGCAACCTTTGGCTTCGGCGTACAACCACATCGCTTACTAGGTGAACATGGTGTCAGGAAATGACATGGGATACTTTGCATAATAATGTCCAAAAATCTCTCTGTTAGTGGTTTATTTTTCACTGTATGACATTCTTTGCCTAAGTTAAATTAAATTCTGACGTTTTCTGTATATAATTACACCGTCGTCAATTAGGCACAGTTTTCCTACTACCGTTTGCTATCATCGATTTCATTGATATTGGAGGATATACAAATTGTGATAAACAACATAAATCATGAGCGAGAATTTCGTAACAAAATCAACAACACTTTGCCTGTTCCCTCGGTATTTCTCTTCTCCTCAGATTTCCGCATCCAGCCACACTGTACGGTTTGTTGGAAATGGGCAGTATGTACTTACCTGTCTCGGATGCTTGGACGGAATTTCAGAATCGGGCGGATCAAGCATTTGAGGACAATGAACGCCGACAGCGATCATTACTTATGCAGTTAGCTAATCAAGCTCTAGAGCGATACAATCGACCGGACGCAGAGTACGTGTGCTTTAGCAGCTCGTAAATCATCAAAGACGAACATTATGCACATGTAACATTACAAATGTGATGTATATTTATGTATATTCTATGAGTTACTAACCATAATTAGTAGTGTAATCTGCGTCTTATGAACTCCACTCTGTCGTTCTTTTTTCCAACGTTTAATTGTTGTGATTCGTTGATCGGCTCTGGCTATTTGACCATCGATTTGAATCAGCCTGTTACTAATATTGTCGATATCTATTGGTCGAGGATTCAAGTCTAACCTGATACATACCGGGTACCTCCTGCGGGGCAAAGCAGAATACTGAATGTAGTTGATCGTGATGGCTTCAAATCTCAACGTCTATTCCGCATCACAGTGATGCTGAACACCGTCCTCGGTGACTGCGATAACTTGAGGTTATTGAAAAGAAACCTTGAACGCGTGCACTGTTGCTATAGAGGTGAATAGGCTACAGTTTGTTAACTCCATTAATCAAGTCAAATCAGTAGTAGCCTTATCTCTATATTTTTGTATTTCTCGTTCCTTTGCTGAAATCTCAATCCATTTCTGATCGCTCTCTCTCTCTCTCTTCCTCTGCCTGGCTGAACAGTCCGAGGACAGACCCTTGGTTATGGGATTTGGACTGGTCGAAACCGCGAGTAACGTCCACGGTGAGATAACGTTATCTGGATAATTTTTATCTTCCCTTTTTCCCTTCCTTTGTAAATTGCACAGATGGATTTACGCAGTGCCGATCACTTTCGATCATATTTGTGAGCGTATTTAGCCTTGGCTTGAATAGAGCAGTCATTAAACACTACACAATAGTTTAAAAACACCCTACTGTTTCACAGATGCACACACACACACAAACGAATTACATGCGTCCCTTGGTTAGGAACGTAATTAATCTTACGTAGAATGAAGAGACTTGAACTGCGAAGCTGAAAGTCGCCACAAACCTGCGTTAACCTCGTTGAATATCGTGAGCAGTTTCAGTTTTTACATGCACTTTCGTGCGCCGCTTTTTGTTGCTGTCTTTTGGTTGCTCATTCAGATAAAAGTGTTGAAGGAAGATTAGAATGTTGAGAGAAGAGCCACATAGAAGATAGAGAATTCATGTAGACTGGGGTTGCAAGAATAAGGAGTAAATGCACGAACCTCACTGTTTGCGGCACAGCCATATCACTCAGTGTCTCTAACCACCGGTTACCACGATCTCAAGATCCTCATGCAGGGAGCCTAACTCAAATTATATGGCGGAGTATCTTGGTCAGGTTTTTCGTAACAGGCGAACTTCCATAGGCACCGATGTGCTGTTTTTTGATGTCCCATTTTGCCTCCAGTTTGTAGTTTTGGGGATCGCACTCTTCAGTGAATGACTGTGGTTGCTCGATCCACTGTCTATCGTGGTAGTGCATCGTTCAAGCAAGTATTATCCTCTCATCTTTATTTCTTTCCCGATTTCTAGAAGACGGAAGCAGAAAAAAAGTTGGCCAAACTTCCAAAGTGAGTTGATTTTTCTCTCCGCTATCCAGAAGACCTATGCAAGACGTCCGCACTAACTTTTGTCCGATCTTAGGTGAAATAGAGCTATATAAAGACTGGTGAATATTGTGTTTGGTTTAAAACAAAACACGAGCTCGATGTATAACAGTAATGCAGTCATTGTTGTGAAGTGGAAGCATTGCATCACACTCAGTCAACAATTCAAAATCGTTATATCACGAAATCAGGTGGTTTTGGCGCGCTTTTTAATTGTGCCATGTAGGAGACAATCTTTTTAAACCTGTGGGGGCCGTATTCAATGTGAGGGAAATGTTTGTGGTAACCCATCTCCCAAGGAGTGAAACCCACACCCAAGAATATCAACAGGGCCTGGTGCCTCCGGGCTAATCCAAGCTTAATACTCAGAGAATCGTACTTAGAAAGTGACTACTTTAACGCTTGCCAGTAGGCTTTATGGATAAATTCTGTGACGATTGTATAGTCCGATTGTCTCAACCTCATTCAGCGCCAACTGGAGCTCTTCTTGTCAATAGAATCACAAATCACTCCTGATGCATGCCTGTATGCATGTATAATATTCAAATTATTCTGCAATCAGCCGTTTACGTCCGCGGATTAGAGTCACTTCTAACCATGACCGCTGTTCGATTCCCCAGAATGTGTAGAAAAATTAAGCAAAATGAAATGAGGTTTTATATTGACTACTTTTCCATTCTAGCTGACTGGATTTCACTCGAAGCGAAAAATCAAGTAGTAGTTTAGGTATCCAGTCATTGAATCCACCATTTTTTCGCGTTGTTATTTCCCCTGTATACGTCATCACACCGTCCTGTTCCCAGATGGTATCGCGAATTGATTCCAAAACCAATCAAAGAAAACGTGGATGCCGGACCGTGTTTACTGACAGCCCAGATGCGGATCGCCCCCAAGCTACTTCGTTTGTGCTGGCAAGGTTTACCGATTCATTTCGATCAGGTACGATTTTTATCTGGATACTTTCTTCTTCTTAGGGCTTTAATGGCCCAGCGTTTCAAACGGCTTCTGCCGGTAAACCAATCCCGGGGCTTGAAACTCAGTTCCGTCAACTCACTATAGGGACAGACGAATAGACTATTTTTGGGCTGTATCGAAAAACACTGTGCGACGCATCCGTCAGAATCTCAGCGCTCTTCTTCGGTCCTGGCGACCGGGAAGTAATACCCCCACAACTTACGAACACAATCTACGGATTTTTTTGTTCATATATTGTGGCACATTTGCCAGTCCTGCGTAGTTGGTTACTTGTTGAACCTGAAAAAATAAAAAAAAACTATTTTTGTATTCCCTCGAACCACCAGCATCTGAATGGGGAATCAAAACCCTTACGTGGTTGACGGTCAACGATTAGGGCAAACAGTTGTAACAATTTCAAATGCGTTTGGGTTTGCTCATTCTTTTTCGCCCTAATCAGGCGCTATTTATGGTTATTTTGTATATTCCGGGTGTGGGTTTCACACCGGGGTTGATCACATGATTGTTCCCATCGCAACCGCCATGCAATGGATTTTTGGAAAGTAAATAATCCCCTAATCAGTGAAATGTAGACCTTGGTTCTTGTCGAACCCTGTTTAATGAAACTGACCCTTACAGTTAGATGCTGAGCGTTTTAATTTTACATTACGTCATTCCTTGATTTGATTCAATCCCTCGTCTCAGTACCGTCGACTTCGGGAGGACCTAATCTTGATATACCACATACTGCATCAATCCAACCACCCTTGCCGTTCTGTTTTGACTTCATCTCAAAATAATAGTCTCAGGGAATATCAATTGAAATTTAGAACCCACAACAGTGGTTTAGGTTGTCGGCATCGGCCGTTTGCAGTTAGTGTTGCTGTTGTTGTATGTGCTCCTACAGTTGAATTATTCAAATCGCAGCTTGGTAAAGCATTGCAATACTTAACATCTCAATATCCATGAGCTATCATGTCTATTGCTTTTTGTTTCTAATTGTAAATTTGTCTTTGAAAATCCTATGGGGCATAATAGGCGTTAGCTTTGTAAATCGCTCATAATAAAACTGACTTCAATCAGTGTTTTTGTTTGTTTAAGATACGCACTGCACATGTCTTTCACACGGGTTTATGCTACTCTAATATCATGATGATAACGCAGACTATTAGTCGTCGTCAGTTTTTGTACCTTGTATTATCATTCATTTTACTGTACAGGAACTGAAATGGGGAATCTTGATTCCTGGTCGCGCTCCGCAACCTTATGGAGATCCACGATACTTTGAAGACACTCCTTCGGAGCCAATGGTCGAGGACGGGAAAACCACGGAACCCACCGCGCAGTTCAAAATGCTCACTCACCAAGTTCGTGCACTGATTCCCGTGCGCAAACGGTCAGCCGCCGGAGAGACCGAGCTGCTATTTCCCTACCGGTAATCCATGATGAATTCTGCTTTTTCAACCGAAGCTGAATGAAAATGCTACCAACAAATATTAATGATATCAATAGCACTATAAGTTAATTTTTTTTTAAATTGCACCTCTTAGTGTAATGGACAATGGACTGGGAAAGTTCCATGGTCACGGGGACCTGCTGTTCAGTAATGGGAACCGGTAACCCAAGCCCCGGGACTTGGAGTGGCTTTGTTGAGTTAGGCGTAGTATTGAACAGGAAAGCTGCCAACCACCAAAGTTGGGTGGCGGGGCTCGAATCGCGAACTACAGGGTCCAAAGCATGCTGATGACAGCGACTAAACCACTGCGCCATATCCTGAAGGTCTGACGAGATTTTTTCTCTATTTCTTATCGACTACCTACCTAATTCATTTATGGCGACAAACAGTTTTCTTGTAATCGAACTGTGAGAATATCATGAACCTCAGTGGAACTGAAACCTATGTGTGGATTACCGCCTGCACCTTTGTATTGCGCGCACTTGGCTCACCGAGCTGGGGAAACCACACAACGCTCTCATCTTTTCCCATTTGATGGCGTCCATTCGTTGTTTCGAATCCAACTGAGGCTTTTGATATTTACTTAATTGTGTTCTTCAGAAATGCCATTCACTGAAACTAAAGTACAAATAATGGTTAATAGAGCTGCCGTAACAAGTGCGGTTACGTTGTGTTTCTCCTCGCGGAATCACTTGCATCCGGCAAAATTATGCAATGACTACTGGCACATTGCTGTCAAGAAACTCCTGCTATGCTTCGCAGACGGCAACTATCTAATGTGAATAAACGGCGAATATACTGCGCACGAAGTGACCAAGTACAGTGGTACGATGGTTTCGTACTCCCGGTGATTCAGAAAGCAGCCAAAATCANAATCATGTCCACGACTTGAATGTTTGAAGTTCAGCTGTGTCTAAACAATTTGTGCGTTGATATTCTCACATACTCTTTCACGTGCTACAATACAACCGAAAATCGCCCCCCCCCCCGAATTTCAGTCTAGCTCAGGCTCCCACCAGTTTGGTAGACATCCCTTACCCGGTGTAGGTGAAAACCGCATACTGTACCGAGAAAATATCGATTTGTCCTCGATCAAGTGTTATGTTACAGTGCCTGTGCGTATCATCAGTTATTTTGTACGTTTCTTGTTCGATGGTGCATTTGACGCAATCATTCGATTCACCTCCCCCATCCTACTCAGAGTTTATTTGGATTACTGGCTAGCCGAAATGAAGCGCAAACTGCTCAACCTCACCGGTACTCCAGACAAACTTGGTGTGGATTCAACACTGGGTTCCGCCTACGCACAACGCGCTGTCCCAGACAGCCGAGACGATCAACTGATGCACGAGTTGCAACGAAGTATCGAGGCCATGCCTTTGGAATATGCCGATCGAGTACGTTTGATCACAACTATAGCAGCTATCCGAGATGTCGGCGCGAAGAGCGCATCGAAAGAAATGGAAAATCGGCGGTTAGCTTGGGGTTCCCCCCGTGGAACTGTGAGTTTTTATACTTTCTGAGCTTTGTCATCCACTGTTCGGAATGGTCCTTGTACAGTTTCCGATAGATCCCTCCCCCGTGCTCTGAAATCGATCTAAACCTCGATTTAGCTTTATAGATTTGTTTTTGAGTCTCGCAAGCGAACAGTTGGGTTTTCCTCCGGATGTGAGAATAAAAAGGGATGAGAACACCTTCGCTGGATTCCACGTCTTTCGGTTATATCCCTGTTCGTTTTATCACTTCTGCTACTGTTTTCCCTGCAGCTCAGTGTCTACTACAGAAGGTTATCCGACGGTATAGTTGCCACTGCCAGTCGCCGAGTTGCCTCTGGTGTTAGTTCAATAGTCTTTGACTTTCCTTAAGCAATCAGGGTCTCTGATACTGTAAATACATCCGTCCGGCCCACCCCGTAACGCACATGTTCACCGCACGTCCGAATTACATGACTTGACAGCTTCGCTGGAGTTCAGTGAATAGCTGTGTGCGTTCAATGCGGTAGCATATTCCTAGTCGCTACCCTATTTGCATCATCCGTGACGGAAATTAAACCAATCGACTCATGAAAGCAAATAGGCACAAAATACCAATCTAAGCGTGAGACAATCAGTGATGACGATCGCAAAAGGATTGTCCGCCACGCACTTGCAGGCGTCGATTACTCATCATTTGGGAATGAACATCAAAATCTGCAAAACGAGACAAAGTGCCGAACCCTTAGAGAGAATATTCACGGAAATTAAATTTTTTGACGTTTTCTTGAAAGTGCACTGAAGATAATGACGGAACTGATTTATTCATCATCCCATCCTCTCGATCGTTTTCCTAATGGTCACTCGCACACGTTTGAGGGTCGTGTTAGCGCACGGTCACCGGAGTCCTTTGGGCCCTATGGTCCGTGGTCCGAGCCCCGCCACACTACCAAACTTTGGTGATAGTCAGCATTGCTGCCGTCCGGTTCAATACCTAACCCAGCGGGGATTTATGTTGTTCCCCAATCCAAATCCTTGGGCTTGTGTTACCGGTTTCCATCACTGAACAGCAGGTTCTCGTGACTTTGGGGCTTACCCCATCTGCTGTTCATCACACAAGAAAAGATGTTTAATAGAAAAAAATGTGTCGAAAGAAACAGGGATGATAGTGCCCAAGAGAAGCTAGCACCATAGTTCCGTCTGACTTTTGTGTGGCAATGTATGGGGCTCATGGACAAAAGTGTGAAAACTGCACCCGGACTTTGGAACCAAGCAAAAATGCGAACCTAAATCTTGTTGCTTGCTGTTCTGCAGTTTTTGGCTATGTTGTTATTGCCACGCTAAAATGAACAGATATTTGTAATCGACCTCGTGAGTGTTATTCTTTAAAAGTGACAACATGCACACACGCACATGTATATATATATATATATCTTTGTGAACTACAGTCTGATGTAGTCCCGTTTAGTCATGTCAAACTTGTTTTCTCCCTTTTCACTTTAAAGGACTCGTCAAAAGCTGTCCATGAACATTTGGGCGAAATGCAGGTGAGAATGCGTGCTGCGCCATATAAGCAAGGCTTTTACTTCCCCGTTTTGACAAATTACTCAGACCGGTGATGGCGATCATTGTAGCTGAGATTTCAGACTTCAGATATCTTCTGATATTGTGTTCCGTTGAACCGTTCCGAATTTTCTAAAATCGCGACCTCGAGTGTCTAGTTAAAATTGATAGCAGTTTGAAAGTTACAGCTCAAAATTATAAAACAAAATTTGATGCAAAACAGCATAGAATTCGTTTCTTTCTGATAAATCATTCTTGCTTCGTGAGGGTGAACAGGTCAATCTAAATATTCTAAATAGCATTTGTTTTCCGTACGGTGACAGTTAAATATGCCTATAAGTAATAAGCATAATTCAATTAGAAAAATATGTGACTTCAAGTGGTCCACGTGACATCGCTCATCAGAAAAGAAGTAACAATAATTTGTGACATTTATAAGTTTACCTTGAGGTGTGCCCTATCCAACAGGAACAGATAAATGAGTGTGCACAGATTGAAGCTGGAGAATCTGGCATTCTGTCTTTCAGTCGGAAACTCGATGGGTTTTAAATATGAATACAGCTCTTACTTGTGCAGCGTGGACTGTTCTGGCATACTGCACTTGGAAGCCTCCTTTGATTAATTTCTGCCTCCACATCTCCCTCATGTCGCTGTATTACTTCTCAACTGTGATGACAAAACTGGGTCTTTGAGACGAAAGGCCATAGGAAAATTGCTGAATAATCCTAATCGACCAGGAAATAAGTGGTCACCAAAGCATTTTACAGCGTGATTTCCCGAGACAACACTTTTCACTCACTAAATTTCACCCTTATTTATTATTGTTGTGATAAGTTTCAATTTTGATCACAAACCTTTTATCATCATTATGCTGATTCTAGGCACGTGGACCCGCTTTCTGGTCAGACGCGAAACGTTACGAGCGCACTGAATCAGTCGTTGCCGACAAAAAGGCACGATCAAGGCGCCGGGCTGGTGGAACCCATGCAATGGCTGTGGATACTGTGAATCCGAATATACCCTGCTGTTGGTTTTGCCATCTGCCTCACGAGGTAGTGAATCTTGACTTACTCATCTCATTTCTGTAGCTCGCTATTGTTGTTGTTGTTACCCTCCAGTGCAATCATACGATGGCGAACCGACAAGGATCAAGTTGTATGCTGTTCTGCTTTAATTGCCACCTTATGTAGCCGCTTGGTTTGAGGCCAGTGCCCATCAGGCAATAGAAACCGAAATCCCTATGGCCTCGGTTTCTTTGTATATCTGTTCCAACCTATAAAAATGACTCTGGATTCATTGGTAGTGTTGTCTTTGCGTTCAGAGAATCCATGTAGCCTTATTGGCGCACCTGAAAGCATAGATTAATATTGAAATGCCTGGTTGTGGCCATATGTCCTCACTGGAGCTTGCAATCATATATCGAGCGTTGTCACCAGTATCCCACACAGAATGAATGCTGTTATCTTAAACAGAGACAGCTTCACCACTAACCAATCGCGTCGTTCCAATAAACCTTCTCTGTTGACCAATGGTTTTGATCCAATAGCAGATAATGCAACGGGACGAAATTTATTACCTTCATTGCTATTTTGGATTTCTTTTCGGGACAAATTCGATTTCCGTTGGACTCTAACATTGGCGAATTGAGAAGGACAGAGTGAAGTGCACACGTAACCCTGGGGCTGTCTTACTCTTTGTGAAAGTTTGAAGACCAACTCAGAAAGAAGCAGTGTGCAATACACCATACGGTTGCTGAAGGAATTATGTATTTAGCTCGTTCATACCTATGGGTTTATCGGTACAGAAAGAGCAAAAATGTCGCGAGATATTAACAGGTCGTTTAATCAATCGCTGACTTAAAACAAACAGGCACATGGGGTTGTTCAATTATGATGAATGAACGTGTACAACCATACTAAAATTACCCGGGCAGGTTTGTAGACATTCTCAGTTGACTATTGCCAAAGATTAACCCAACCGAAAATACTGACAAAACGACTATTTACATAAAGCTTGCATTCAACGGTTGGTGCCTTAAGCTGATGTCACCTCCAAGCCGTATAATCCCAACTACTCATCTCAGACTCATTGCCTCTACTGACCTAATGGATCTGGACCAAAATGGCTGGCAAACCGGTTCTGTTTCACACACTGTATACCAGTTCACCTGCAGTTACGTTAACGCATACATAGGCAGAGCAAACAGTCTCTAACAATGGATGGCCGAACATATTCCAAAGTGGCTCGTGAAATCGATGAAGCAAACGATAATTGATCACTAGATATCCAGGGTCATCTGTTGCAAAACATGTCATGACAATATGACACACAGGTGACCCCAATTCGTCTTTCAAACCACTATTACGTAATCGCAATGCAATTAGTGAGGCGCTACCTATTCCATCACATCACCCGACCTTATGCACACACGTTTTTGACACAATCAATCCACTTACCATGGAGTTGACCGTCTACTTTTATATTTAGTAATATTTGTTTGGTTGTACATAACTGACCAACTTCATGTGCTACATATGTGCCTGTTCGTTTTAAGTCAGCGATTGAGAAGATTAAACGAAATGTTAACATCTGGCGATATTTGTCTTCTTTCCGTATTGATGAAATGGATGTAGGGGAGTTGTCAATCCAGCCTAGTAGGTTTGTGGCCAGTTAGCCGATAACCTGTATGGAAGACCTGACATGGTGGGAGTTAACATATAGTCAACTGTGTCTCCCTTCGTTGCCGTCGGGCTAAATTGAACTAAGTGACTATCTCTGAAGACGACACCTAATCAAACATGAATTGATATTTCTCCCCAGCCTTGGCATGGCCTGCTTGGCACAGTGGTAACACGCCCTCCATGCAATGGGTCCGGAGTTCAAAACCCTAACGGGACGGTGGATATGCCCTACTGATGAGCTCTAATAAGAGCAAAACTCGAGTCTAGTGATTCGGAGCGTATGGTTGACTGGAAGAGCCGAGGAAGGTGTATAAAGGTGAAGTCTGAAGGATGATTCTTTCTAACCAGTTACTATTAATTGTCCCACAACACTCCTCAAAATTAACTGTAAGTTAAATGCAGATAACTCGAATTTGTCTTTCAATGAGGACATATTTCTGAAGCTGAGTGCCTTAGTTATAATTTATGCCTTCTGGTACGCTAGTAAAATTACATCCCGGTTGAACGGCCAGTCAATTTTCTCGTGGAATTGAGGAACATCATCTTGGTTCAGATGTGGAGAAACCGGGCCTATTTAGGTGCGGATTCCTGGTCCTCGGTGGGAGCGGGGCTTGAATCAGACGCAGAACCAGTGCCCATTCTTCTGTCATGCCCCCCCCCCACTTTTTCGCTCACCAATTAAGCTGAACATCCACGCTGCTCCCACAAAGACGGCTAGCATCTACATGATCACTAGCGCGCGTAGACCACACCAACCGATCTGAACTCAGCCGGTCCTTCTATCTACCTTTTCTGAAGTCTACCTGATTCCTGAATCCTTCTCTGCATATCTATTCTCAATGATACGCAAAAACCATAAAATAAGCCGCCCTAAAGAATTGTTGGACTTCGTATTGGTGTTCACATACCGTAGTTTACTACGTTACCTGCTGTTGTAATTTTTGCCTGTTTTCATAAGCAGTCGAAACCGAAAACACGCAAGGAGAATGAAAGCACGAAGTTGGGTAAATCTATGTTTTTCACTACTTAAGATAGTCATATTGAAACGATGATTCGTATGTATTCCCTAGGAACGAATATTTTTCTCTATAGTGGAACCTCGTTTGCTCTCCGTGAGTTCCGCGTAAGTTAGGACTGAAAGATTTGTTGGATTTGGTGCTGGACCCATCATCCTCATCATTTGCCCTTTATTGCTTACCTGTATTATTCACAGATTTCCCTTCTCTATACACTGTATCTCGATATCCAAATCACATATGATTTAATTAATTTGGACTCCCTGATATATCTGCCTCACTCATCACCGGATCCTTCAATCGTTTTTATGCACGCGCATGCGGATGTTACAATCAATGTGTCACGTATTGAATGATCAATTCTTTTTTCGTTCCTTCGCTGTCTTTTAGTCCGGTGATGGTGTTCCCGTTGGCTCTCCGCTGTCACGAGCCTTTCAAAGCCATGTCGCCGCAAACCGTTTGCACAGTGCCGAGCTACTTTCCGATTCCACCAACTCACCTCCAAGCGATAGGTCCGAATCAGTCGGTCTGGCTACGCAACTTCTTCGTGATCGTATTCACGCCACCTTCTGGCAAAGTTATTCAAAAAGAGTAAAGTAAGCTCTTGAATTATTTTAAACTTCGATAGTATTGCCATCGTGTGCCAGCAATTTCTATTGGAGGACAGATCTTTGTCGGGCTCATTGTCATTCACCATTGAATCTGACATTTGT